GGGCTCTGAGCCATCAGCCCAGCGCCCGACGCGGGGCTCGAACTCACGGACCGCGAGATCGTGACCTGGCTGAAGTCGGAGGCTTAACCGACTGCGCCACCCAGGCGCCCCTATTACTGTTCATTTATAAGACAGACCTCTTTTTGATTTTTGCCTTCTCTTCCTAGAAGCAAGCTTGCATCTGATCCATCATGGTGCCCACAGAACTCACAGTGAGTATCGCCATGTTCCTCAGGCTCCTCGAAATGCACTGTCAGAAAGCGGTCCAGGCTCATTCTTCTGCATGTCTCCGTCCAGTTTTCCCAGCACCACTTGCTGAAGAGACTGTCTTGATTCCATTGGATTTTCTTTCCTGCTTTGTCAGAGATGAGTTGCCCATACTTTTGTGGGTCCATGTCTGGGTTCCCTATTCTGTTCCATGGATCTGAGTGTCTGTTTTTGTGCCAATACCATACTGTCTTGATGATTACAACTTTGTAGCATAGCCAGAAGTCCGGGATTGTGATGCCTCCTGCTTTGGTTTTCTTTTTCAAGATTGCTTTGGCTCTTCGGGGTCTTTTCTGGTCCCACACAAATTGTAGGCTTATTTGTTCCAGCTCTGTGAAGAATGTTGGTGCTATTTTGATAGGGATTGCACTGAATGTGTAGATTGCTTTGGGTAGTATCGACATTTTAACAATATTTGTTCTTGTAATCAATGAGCATGGAATAGTTTCCCCCCACCTTTTTTTTTTTGTGGAAATGCACTGTCATCTTGCCTGTTTTTTTTTTTGGGGGGGGGTGGTGTGGGAAGGAACCTGCTGTGGAGGAGAGATTTCTCTGTGTGGGTTCCCAGGGGTAAGGTCTCTACCGAGCAGTGCCCCATATGGGCGGCCAACGCCAGCACAGAGGGCTTTACAAACATGAAAAACCAGAAGAGCCTCAGGGTTTGTGGTGAAGTGAGAGGAACACACTATTTTAGATCTCATTAACAGGTAAGAGTTTTTATGATTGGATGTGTCTGTTCGGAAACTAAGACAAAGGAGGATATGGGACAACCCTGAATTTGTGGGTTTTTTAAAATGTTTATTTATTTATTTATTTTTGAGAGAGAGCATGAGTAGGGAAGGGGCAGAGAGAGAGAGAGAGAGAGAGAGAGAGAGAGAGAATCCCAGGCAGGCTCCTTGCTGTCGACACGGGGCTTGAACTCACAAACTGTGAGATCATGACCTGAGCCAAGATCAAGAGTCGGACGCTTAACCGACTGAGCCACCCGGGTGCCCTCATCATTTGTTTTGAATAAACCTGTGGTGAGCACATCAGTTCTGTCTCTTACACAACAGGACATAGGCTTTTCAAAAACCACATAAGAGCCTATATTTCTCTGAACGAGACAAAGAGGCTAACGAAAATACTGGGTAAAGCCATCATCCAGAGAGTCATTTGGGATTTTGTAGCCAAATGTAATCAAGGACAGAATCACATCAGATTGCTCCGTTTTTTGCCGTCCTCATAAACGCCTCACAGAAATATCTAACTGGTTTAATTTTGCTTTTCTCAAAGAGAAAGTCTGGGTTTTACAAGTCGGTGGTTGAAATCAAGCCTTCTTAGTGGGGCTAACAGACTGCCCTTCAAGGTACACTGGTCTATGAGTTCCAAGGTCCACGGAGCTTGGTGGTCGCAATTGTTGACCTTAGACAAGTCGGCGATGCCACGCTAATGATGTTTAGTATTGCATGTGTATTGCTGCATATACCTAACAATAAAAGAGACGATTAACTTGGATCTGCTGAAGTAAACGAGGTAAGTCTACTTTTCTGACCAGAATCAGAACCAGGAAGGGCTGTGTGCCGGTCAGTACCCAGGACGCTGCCTTCCTTCGACTTCACAGTGAAGGCAGAGCCATGTTTGCGGATGAGGAAACTGAGGCTGGGAGGGTGGGGGAGGGGTCAGGGTCATGGCGAATTGGAGGAGGAGACCCGCAGAATGCTCTCAGTGCCCATAGCATCCCCAGGGTGCTCCCTGTAGACAACTGTCAAAGGCGCTGAGATCCAGGTCTTACCGTTTGGAAGTCTTACTTCCTCAAGTGTGGGGACAGGGCGCCCTAGAGACGGAGGCCGGCCATTCCCGCTCCTCCTGACTAGCTCACATCCCTCCCTCCCTCCCTCCCTCCCTCCCTCCCACCATCTTCCCTCCCGCACCCCTTCCCCCATGCAGGTGCCCACTTTAGTGCTGAGAAGAAATAAGGGATGTGGCCTCACAGGACACGGGCTTTGCCCTTGGCCCTGTTCTCTGCCTAGAGGTGCAGGCGACGGGCCTGGGGCTGATAGAAGCCTTCCAGCCTTCCGGAGATAACCTGAGTCAATGCAGGAGGCTCCTGAAAATCTGGAGGCCTTCTTCCTGCCCCAGAAGATGCTTAGCCCTTGATGCTTGGCCCTGCTTCTTCTTCTTTTTATTTTTTAATTTTTTTTTAACACTTATTTATTGTTGAGAGACAAAGTGCAAGCAGGGGAGGGGCAGAGCGAGAGGGAGACCCAGAATCAGAAGCAGGCTCCAGGCTCTGAGCTGTGAGCACAGCCCTGATGTGGGGCTTGAACTCATGAACCGTGAGATCATGACCTGAGCCGAAGTTGGACGCTTAACTGACCGAGCCACCCAGGTGCCCCTCTTTTTGCTTCTTTAACCAAGCTTAGCCTGGGGTTTCTGTACGTTTCTACTGTGCAGAGCTGGCCTAAGGGCTCTTGTCTGGTGACAGTAATTGGGCTACAAGCTTGGCTGAGCTTCCCAATTAAAAAGGGGCCCTGATATGGTTCATGAGGGAAAAAGAGACCCTTCCCTATTCTTCAAGAGATACGAAAGCCTTTCTTCACATCTCCTTTGTATTTAAAGGCCTAACGTCTTGGGTAGGTCTTAGTGAGTAGGACACAGATGTCTATGAAGAAGCCCCTGGAGGCCCTGCTCTCAGGGGAGAGAGTGGACCCCACGAGGGCTCCTTAGACACCACCTTGATGGAGACTTTAGGAAGGGTGCCCGGCAGAATGTGGGAAGTTGTTCTAGGCATTGCCCAAACTAGAAGGTTCTGGCATGGGCTCCTGGATGGGAAATAGACTGGAAACATGCAGATTAGCCTGTCATTCCACCGATTATCTCCTGGGATCTCTTCCTGCTGTGCAAGGCTCTGAGAGCAGCCTGCCTAGGTAGCTTCTCCAGCAAGAACAGTGTCTCTAGGACGGCTCAGAGAGCAGGCGAGCTGGAAGGAAGGAATTCATTATCTCAGAGTCCTCATGGAAGCCTGAGCCCTCATCTGAGAGAGGTCTTCCTGCCCTGGAAATGTGAGGATTACGTCACACACGCACGTCACGGCGTCGGCACTGGGTCTGGCATGCACTAGGCACCCCAGCTATGGCGAATAAAATACGTTGGTAAATAGTGCCGTTTACGTCTGCTGGGAAGTTTTCGAAGGATACCGTGTCTAACATCCAAAGGATATATACCCATCGCGCATGTCTAGAGCTAGAAGCGCGAGTCCCAGCATGGTGGGGGGACACGTTTGCCCAGGACTCCCCTAGCCTGGGAGGTGGACTCTTCCTCATAAAGGCAGCCAAACCTTTCATCTTGTACGGATGATGTAGGCCTACCTTGGTCTTCACAACAAATGTGGCCTTGACGACACGTATACAAATCTAGGTTTTTTTTGTGTGTGAGTCAAACCACTTTTAAAATATGCCTGCGGGGGGTGGGGGGGAGTCCCTAACTAAATATAGTTCTATGCTGGACCACCGGGCCCTCCACCCTCAGCCAACCGGAGAACACACGCCTTGGGCTTCAAGCGGGACACATTCTGGGGGTCAGCGCTGGGGAGTGGTGGTCGTGCCCGCTTACTGGGCAGTGGAGAAGGCTGGGTCTCCTGGGGCACTGGAAATGCTGAGGTCCCCCCCTTCCCCCCGCCACCCCCTGGGGCTGTATCTGTGGATGGGGACGCTGTTTCTCTCCCGGATTTATAGCTTGGGGCTCAGGTGCATGTGACAGTCTCTTAAAAGTATTTGATCACCCCCAAAAAATGTAAAAAAGAAATAAAAGAAGGAAGGAAGGAAGGAAGGAAGGAAGGAAGGAAGGAGGGAAGGAAGGAAAAAGAGGGAAGGGAAGGGAAGAAAAGAAAAAAAAAGAAGAGAAAAGAAAAAAAGAAAAGAACCTCTACAAAAGCAGTTTCACGCTTACTCATTGTGTGGATTCACAGTTAACACCTGCTCATCTGCACGAGCGGATGACTTTTCCCCAAAATGTCACCGTGCCGACCCATTAAAGCTACACTGATCCCCATCTTGGGGTCTCTGTGTTCTTCATATTCTTCCTTCCCACCCTAAAAGTTCTTTTTGCTCCAAGTCTATGCAAGCCCCACCTCTCAGGGGACAACCTCCCTGGGGGGCCACGACGATGCCAGGCTGCCAGGTTTGGCTTTGGGAGAAGTCTCCTGGCATCCTCACCAAAATATGTGTCTCCCAGGGAATCTGTCCTCCCAAGACACTGGGTTTCTGGGTAATGGCTGAAGCTGGAGGGAAATCTTTATTTTTTTTATTAAAAAATTTTTTTAATGTTTATTTATTTTTGAGAGGGAGAGACACAGAGTATGAGCAGGGGAGGGGCAAAGAGAGAGGGAGACACAGAATCTGAAGCAGGCTCCAGGCTCTGAGCTGTCAGCACAGAGCCCGACACGGGGCTCGAAGTCACAAACCGTGAGATCATGGCCTGAGCTGAAGTCAGATGCTTAACCGACTCAGCCACCCAGGCGCCCCTTAGAATTCTTAACAAAGTTTGAATAAGGGATCCTGAAAGCTATATAACCTGTCCCAGTGCTTGTGCATGTATGTGAAAGGGTATGAATGAGTGTGTGCGTGTGAGTGTGTGTGTGTGTGTGTGTGTGTGTGTGTTGCTGTTTCAGGAGCAGAGGATACATAGTTTGCAGAAGGCTCAGAAGAATCTGGACCCAGAAAAGTTTAGGAGCCTCTGAGGACCTTTATGGAAGAATGGAATAGAGAGGAGAGGGGTGCCTGGGTGGCTCAGTTAAGCGTCCGACTTCGGCTCAGGTCATGATCTCACAGCTTGTGAGTTCGAGCCCCGCGTCAGGATCTGTGCGCACAGCTCGGAGCCTGGAACCTGCTTTGGATTCTGTGTCTCCTTTTCTCTCTCTGCCCCTCCCCAGCTCGCACTCTGTCTCTCCCTCTCTCAAAAATACATAAACATTAAAAACAATGTTTTAAAAACTTAAAAAAAATGGAATAGAGAGTAGAAATCAGAATCATTCAGAGTTCAATACAGGTTTGTGCCCATCATTGGTCCCAAGGGGGTCCTACCACATCCGATCACTTGTCATGTGTCCTGTAACTGTTCATGTGTGCCCTCCACCAGCAGGTGGGTTCTGCGAGAGCTGGAACCACATCTGACTTACCCACTACTGTGTTTTTGGCATGCACGCAGTACCTGACACGGAATAGGCGTGCGAGAGATAGTCATGGACTGTATAAATCTGTTGTGATGTGGGCAGATGCCCTCAGAAGTTCCTGCTTGCCCTGCATGCATTTCTCTGCCTCGTCGCAGATTTTGGGGGCTGGGAGGGTCACGGGGTCCGGGCCCCTGCCGTTCTGAGATCCTCTGAAGGATCGTCCTTGACCTGATGGTGTCTGGTGTCTCCTTGCAGGGTCTTGTCTCTAACATGTCTGACGATTACAGCTACCATCCCACGTCTCCTCTGGATGACTACCTAAACCTCCCTGAACTTTACTGTAAGAAAAACAACGTCCGGCAGTTTGCGAGCTACTTCCTCCCGCCCTTGTACTGGCTCGTGTTCATCGCGGGCGCCTTGGGCAACAGTCTGGTCGTCCTTGTCTACTGGTACTGCACGAGAGTGAAGACCATGACCGACATGTTCCTCCTGAATCTGGCAATTGCTGACCTCCTCTTTCTCGCCACGCTTCCTTTCTGGGCCATTGCCACCGCGGACCAGTGGAGATTCCACACCTTCCTGTGCAAAGTGGTCAACAGCATGTACAAGATGAACTTCTACAGCTGCGTGCTGCTGATCATGTGCATCAGCGTGGACAGGTACATTGCCATCGCTCAGGCCATGAAAGCGCAGACCTGGAGGCAGAAAAGGCTCGTGTACAGCAAAATGGTCTGCTTTGCTGTCTGGGTGCTGGCGGCCATGCTCTGCATCCCCGAAATCCTGTATAGTCAACTCAAGAAGGAATCTGGCATTACCATTTGTACCATGGTTTACCCTAGTGACGAGAGCACCAAAGTGAAGTCGGTGGTCTTAACCTTGAAGGTCGTCCTGGGCTTTTTCCTTCCTTTCGTGGTCATGGCCTGCTGCTACACCATCATCATCCACACTCTGTTACAAGCCAAGAAGTCATCCAAGCACAAGGCCCTGAAGGTGACCGTCACCGTCCTTACTGTCTTCTTCCTATCTCAGTTCCCCTACAACTGCATTCTGTTGGTGCAGACCATCGATGCCTACGCCATGTTCATTTCCAACTGTGCCATTTCCACCAATATTGACATCTGCTTCCAGGTCACTCAAACCATCGCCTTCTTCCACAGTTGCCTGAACCCCGTGCTCTATGTTTTTGTGGGCGAGAGATTCCGCCGGGATCTTATGAAGACCCTGAAGAACTTGGGTTGCATCAGCCAGGCGCAGTGGGTCTCGTTCACAAGGAGAGAGGGAAGCGTGAAGCTGTCGTCCATGCTGCTGGAGACGACCTCGGGAGCGCTCTCCTACTGAGGGGTCTTGGCTCCGACGTGGATGGCCCTCTCAGAAGTAATGAGAAATACAAGTACAGCTTCTCCACTGATGGGACCAGAGGGAAACCAATGAAGAAAAAGAAAAAGGAAGTGGGGGGAGGGGGGGAGAAAAAGCCCAGAAAGGGATGATTTTGGACAATTACTTTAGTTAGAATTTCCAAGTCAGAGTTTTCCACATGGACTGGCCATCCCGTGAGACCATGGACTGGCTCTTGGCTGCAATGTGTACAATTTTCAGAGAAGGACCAACAGACAGCTCTTTAGACCACCCTGGCTTCGTCCCTCGTCTGAGCATTAATGCAACTGGAAAAGGCGTTCGATTTTCCCAGTATACTGCGGATGGCTGTGGCTTCGGTTCTGAAGCCACCCCTTCCAAAAGGAGACACGGACCCACTGGCCGCTGCCACCAGGAGTCCACAAAAGCACAAGGTTTCCTGAAAACTTCCATCTTGGGGGGAATTTCTACCATGACTTTGGGGCCTGGTGCCCATGCCAGGTCTTCTAGATTCTTGATCAGAATCTTTTCAAACAACCTCAGATTGTCTCCTCTGGTCTCCTTGATCTGTTCTGGGCCAGGGAGGGACCCTGAGCCTCTTTTGAACTACCTGCTTGACTAGCCAGCGAGCCCCTGGACTAGTAGCCATATCCGAACATCATCCCTATTCTCTCGGTGCTCCCGTGTCCATTTCTGGGTCCTTCCGGGGGGGTTCTGTGACTCCACAGAGTCTGCACAAGGACTCCGTGTGTCCACTTGTGTCACGGGGGCGGTCAGCCTGTGCGGGGACTCTGAGAACCCGAGCGCCCTGGCTCTGTTGTGGGCTCAGTCTGCCAGGTAGCTTTTGTGATGGTCCACTTTTCCACTTCCCATAAAACGGGTTGGTTTTACGGACCCTCTTGTTTCTCAGGCGGCTGGAAGTAGACCTGCGTCCACGCTGCTCCTTTTCTTAACGGATAGCGCTCACATGTTCAAAAGCTTTCGATTTAGAGATTAGGCTGGAAAAAAGTAATAGAATTCACTTTCGCTTTGTTTCTTTTAACTATTTGGCTAGCACATTTGAAAACATTTTATAGGGGCCCCTGGGTGGCTCAGTCGGTTGAGCATCCGACTTTGGCTCAGGTCGCGATCTCACAGTTTGTGGGTTTGAGCCCTTCATAGGGCTCTGTGCTGACAGCTCGGAGCTTGGAGCCTGCTTTGGATTCTGTGTGTCTCTCTCTCTTTCCTGTTTGCGCTCTCTCCCTGTCAAAAATAAGTAAAAATTAAAAAAGATTTGTATGTTAGAAAAGTGTTTTTGTTTTTTTTTTTTAAATTTTTTTTTCAACGTTTTATTTATTTTTGGGACAGAGAGAGACAGAGCATGAACAGGGGAGGGGCAGAGAGAGAGGGAGACACAGAATCGGAAACAGGCTCCAGGCTCCGAGCCATCAGCCCAGAGCCCGACGCGGGGCTCGAACTCATGGACCGCGAGATCGTGACCTGGCTGAAGTCGGACGCTTAACCGACTGCGCCACCCAGGCGCCCCCTGTCTCTGTATTTTAAATGTGTCCAACTGAAGATCCAAAAGCCATGTTAGAGGGTGAGGAATAAGGGTGGGATAAGGAAATAAAATCTCCAAAATACTTTAGAGCCATCTTGGCTGCCTGGTCTTCCTCTCTCCTCTGGTCAAACTTATTTCCCAGGCTTGTCCCAGTTAGCCCAGTGGGATTTCCAAGGGGGGGGGGGGGCTATTCGAGCAGCCCACGAATCACCCTGGCTTTGCTACTTGCTCTAGAGGAAGCATCTGATTTTCTAGGTGTGCTATGAATTACTGTGGTTTCAGTCCCAAGACCATGGCTTCCAAAGGTGGCACCGAAGCCTGGACTCTGCCACCTCATCTTCCCCCTCCCTGTCCATGTCTCAAGTGTGCGTCAGTGAGAAATGAAGGGAGCAGAACATGGGCAGTGACACAAAGACCTTGCTAACCTACCCTGTGTGCAGGAAGCTGGAGGTAAACAAGCATTGGTCTGGGACCAGCCCAACGACATGGGCCCCAGTTCAAGAAACACCACTTACGGTAGGGGGCAGGGTGATGTCTCCAAGGCCACTGTACGGACAGAGCCATCGCTCGGCTACCATTTCCAGGAGACCCAGGCGGCTTTGAAGGAACCCAGGAGAATAAGCAACAACTATGGGCCAAACCTAAATAACATGGCGCAGTTAGGTGGAAAGAACACGACCTAGTTTGGCTTTGCCATTCAGTGCGCTTCTGATACTGTGCTTCTGATATGTGTCACGGGGGCCCTGGTGGAGCTGAGGAAGTGGGGAGAGATGGGGGGAGAAAGGGGTGAGCCATGATGTGCTTGCTGGCTCTACGCTGGCTCAGATTTACCTAAGAGACACTGTAATGGAGATTTAGTGAGAGTTGAGACATAATGTACATTTGGCCAATGCCCATGAGTTGGAAAAAAATGCCGGTGACTATACTTTTCCCCTCTCTGATTTTTAAGGAGGGGGATGTGGGACACCATGAGAATGTCAAACCCTGGGTCGCACTCGGACGCATGGTGGTCATGCTTGGTTCCAAGGGTTTCTTTTAGGACATGATTGTCACTATTGCATCATCCCAGACCTAACAGCTCCAAAGGAGGATTAAAGACAGGCTGCAACTGAATCATATGGCAAAGACTGAAAGTATGTTTTGTGGCAAACTGTTTTCATTTTTAAATGATTGCATAAATAGGACCGTTTTACATTCAAACTAATCTAGGTGTTGGCAGCAGATTTAAGCCACTCAACATTTTGAGAGAATACGAGGTGTGAGTACCTTTTGAAATAAAGATAAAAGAGGGTTATCATATATGATTACGTTTGACTAGATAGAACTTTACAAAGGAGAACAACCAAGAAACTGAACGAAATGTGATGTGTTTTCATTGCCAAAAGAGAGATTGTCTTTTTTACCAAAAATTTTTTTTAGAAAACTAATTTTAAGTCCATACATCACAACGTGTACATCCAAGGGGGGTTGTTGTTTTGATGTAGTCGACTTGGATGACTGGAGATTTGGTGTCTTGGGCTGTCTTTCAGGCCTGCAAAATGCTAAGTCACTCAGCAAACATTTGTGTCTATACTAGGAGCCAGACCCTCTCTACTCACCCAACAGGGTTACAATATGCTTTCCCTCAAGATGCTTATACTCTAGCAATGTGGAAAAGCCAAGCGCCATGTGGTCTCCAACATGGAAGATAGTATGGAAGGCTCTATCAGGTGATATCCCTTGGCTGACAAACATGAGGTGTCCTTGTATGGCTTAAAGACTGGTGTGTAGATAGTTCCCAGGACAAGTTGCATATGGCGACCTCGTTAGGTTGCCCAAGAGCAAGGATGTTATGTCCTTAGGGTAGTAATGCAGTCCTGTTGTCTGCGGGCAGCCTGAGAGGAGCCAGTGGTCAAGGGTGGGCGGGCTGAGCAGGACTGGACACAGTGCTTTCCCACGGCCTGGTGAGTGGCCTGGGTTGCTGCCTGTTGGCTTTTGCAAGACAGGTGTGCAGTTATAATGTCTTCCATTTGCCCATAGCAGTTGTTACAAATAGTCCTGCTCAAGAAAGCCACCAGCTCCAGTGGACTCCTTCCCTGGATCTGGTCCCCCTTCTCTGGAGGCCATCACCACTGCAGTGTGGTGGTGATGGGTAGTGGCTCCACGATGGGCTTAAATACCCAGCAAAGGCTGTCACGAAGCATGAAACCTTTGGACATCATCGACTTTTGGCTCCAAGAAATGAAAAGCTGTCACACGTGTCCACACGGCCCTTTTGTGTTTATAATCTTTGAATGCTGTGCTTGGTTCTCTAATTCTGATTTGGCCTCATAAGTTGGAGCTTCCCATGGGGTCCAGGGCAAAGGAAGGGCAAAAGTATCCCCCACCTCCCCTGGCTCGGTGCCTGAGGATTTCTGTCGCGCACTGGACTTGACCTCTCTCCATTGGAGCGTCTCCTCCTTCTCCTACACTCTGGTCAAGGGGCTCCAGCACACTCACCTTATTTATTTATTTATTTATTTATTTATTTATCTATTTATTTATTTAGAGAGGTCATGAGCAACAGAGGGGCAGAGGGAGAGGGAGAGAATCCCAAGCAGACTCCAAGCCCAGCACGGAGTCTGATGCAGGGCTTGATCCCATGAACCATGAGAGATCATGACCTGAGCTGAAATCAAGAGTCAGATGCTCAAGTGGCTGAGCCACCCAGGTGCCCCAACCTTATGCATGTTAGATGCTCAAGAGAAATCTCTCTTTATTCAAGTTGTTTATTGTGCACGATCAGTAAGCACCGTGGCTGTAGAGTGCGGTTGCCATCACAACCAAGAGGCAACGGTGCTTCTGCCATACCATCCTTTCTCCCCCATCCCGTCGGCCCCTCCCGTTGCAGTTGAGTGTGGTCTGAGCCTGCATCCTCCCGGACCGGGACTGTTTCTCTAATCAGGTCTATTTTATGGGTACAGGTGCCCCAAGAGCCAATGTCCCATTCCATGTCTTTCTTTGCTTTTATATCATTAAAACCTACAAAAGATATGCAAATGTATCTCTCCAACATTAGACTCTCGATGAGCTCTCTTCCACCCTTAACGTGCTTACTTGTTACACTCGATTGTGGTACCAGGGGCGAGGTAAGAAGTCCCTCTGGTTGGGTGGAGGTTCCCCATCAACTGAATTTCCCCTCAAGGGCTTGCAGCGAATGTGGTCCGCACATAATCGCCAGCTGGCAGCTCCTCCAGGGTCCGCCTGTGCTCACTTGTGCTGCAGAGAGCAGCTCTGGCCAGAGCCGTGTCACCCCAGGCCACTGCAGCCAGTGCCTGAGAGGCGGGGGATAGAGGGCGTCAGGCTGCTGGGCGCTCTGATAGGCGCAGCTGCTCCAGAGCTCCCTGCCTGCCTGGCCCGCTGGCGGAGGATCGTCAGCCTCGCATCGCCCTTGAGCCTCCTTCTGCTCAATCCCGTCTCTTCCCACCTCCTTCCGTGGGTGTTGATCCCTGATCAATATCTTGCACCTTGAACTCCAGCTCAGTGTCTGCTTCTAGAGAAGTCAGCCTGTAACAATCTTTCACCGGGGGCTACCCATCCTGAGAGCCCATCTAAGACCTGATGGGTGCAGAGCACGGGGTGTCCAAGAGCTACGGGCGGTGAGCACCTGTCACAGAACCCATCTCAGAAGGCTGGGGGCTCAGGCTGTGTCTGATCTTAATTGAGTTGTCAGAGATCTTGTGCACCGACGGTAGGTCAGGGTCTCGGTGTGCAGGACAGACACGGTCTTCCCCCAGCCCAGGACCTTTCAGCCACTGTCCCCTGCTCACTCTCTCCAGGCCTGGTAGGTACTGTGATTAACCTCATTTTACAGACGAAGGGACTGAGTCTCAGATGTGTTAGTACCTCGCCCAAGGTCACGCAGTTCACAACAGGGTATGCCAGGCTCTCAAGCCTTGGCTTCTGCCCCGTGTTGCCATCCCGCCTTGCCTGCCATGGTCAGACAAACCAGCCATTGCTTTGGAGCGTTGACCAACACTTGGCCAAATACCAGACCGAGTTCCAGGGAGCACAAGGACAGATGGACAGATACCATCGCACGCAATCTCTAACTGATGCCGTGTGACCGCCGAGGCCCAGCTGACACCTCCCTCAAAACATGGTCCGGGGGGCGAACCAGCAACAGACGATGTCATCAGCCTCACAGAATCGAAAAAGGTTCCCACCTGCTCCCTCTCTTCAGGCTCCACCCCAAACACATACAGCTGTGGACCCTCAAACTCTGCCGGAGGGGTGTGTGTGTGTGTGTGTGTGTGAGCGTGCACGCGTGTGTGTGTGCACATAGGTGCAAGAGCACTGTACCCAAGCCCGGGCAGACACCTGGAACACAGAGCATCTGGTGGTGGCTTGTCCTCCCTCCCCTGACCCCAGCTTTCCTGACTACTTCCTCCCAAATAGACCTGCCCATCTGCCCCCTGAATACCACTGAGCGGCCTCCATCAAGACCACATGGAACGGAGGAATCACCCAGCTGAGCCCTGCTCACACTCCTGATCCACAGAATCCTGGGATGTAATAAAATCGTTACCATTTTCTTAAGCCATTGAGTTTTGGGGTAATTGATTTTGTAATATTTAAAATTTTTTTAAGTTTATTTATTTATTTTGAGAGAGACAGAGACAACATGAGTGAGGGAAGGGGGCAGAGAGGGAGAGAGAGAGAGAATCCCAAGCAGGCTCCTCGTGCGGGGCTCGAACTCACCAACCGTGAGATCATGACCTGAGCCGAAGCCAAGAGTTGGACGCTTAACCGAGCCCCATGATTTCCTAATATTTCTTTGCGCCACCCAGGTGCCCCATGATTTCCTAATATTTCTTTGGCATAAAATTCTCTTTGGCTCACTCACAAGTCTGTGAAGAGAAGTGATTTTACAAATGGAGCTGAATGTGCTCCATTCAGCTGTGGTCTTGTTACGGCTGCCACAAAACTTAGTGATCTAAAGCAGCAATCACTTAATTGCGTTCCCCATTTTGTGGCTCACCAATTTAGAAACGACTGGGCATCTGGGGCGTGGCATCTGTCATGTGGTTGCAGTCAGACATTGGCTGGGGTTGCGGTCACCAGAAAGCTTGACCAAGAGCTCTCCATCTTTCCATCTGTATGTGGGCTGCAAGTGGGGCGCCCACAGATGGCCTCTTCAGCATGGGGGTCATGGTACTTGGTTTCCACGGCCCTTGGTTTTCCCTGGGAAAGGGTCCAAGAGCACCAGGGGGAAGTTGCCTGTCTTTTTCTGACCTGGCTCTGGCTGTTCCCCACTGGTCAGAATGGTGCCAGGCTGGCCCAGAGTCCTGGGGAGCAGCCACAGGCCCCCACCTCTTATGGGAAGAGTGCCATATAACTTTGGGGTCATGTGTTAAAACCACCACAAACTACTCTGTAAGTTGTCTTTCAACGACCCCAGTCACTCAATCCCCCAACTGCCTAGCTGACCAGTGCCCAGGGACAAAAGAGCCTAGGAGAGGAAGAGGTATATGTAGGCAACTTTCTCAAGAACTGCTGTCACATTTTTGAGTGATTCTTATGGGAACCGCTATGCAAGGACCTTTGTTTTGCAAGTGACCTCTACACCCATTGTGGGGCTCGAACCCACAACCCCAAAATCAAGAGGTGCACACTCCACTGACTGAGCCAGCCAGGTGCCCCAGCAAGGCCCTTTTCCGATCTTATGTGGTCTCCACAGCATCCTTCTGAAGCAGCTGCTGTCAGGTCTCCCATTCAACAGGTGGAGAAACTGAGGCACAGAGTGACTCAGTCACTTGCCTCAAGCCATAGCCAGTAGGTAGTGGCACCAGGAATCCAGGCATGTTTTTCTGATACTAGAATCTGACCTCTGAGATGCTCTGTTGCACTTTCTCCTCCATTGGAGTTCAAGTACATTTAAATTTTTGTTAACATTTATTTATTCTTGAGAGAGAGAGAGAGAGAGAGAGAGAGAGAGAGCGATCAGCAGAGGAGCAGAGAGAGAGGGAGACACAGAATCCGAAGCAGGCTCCAGGCTCCGAGCTGTCAGCACAGAGCCCGGTGCGGGTCTCAAACTCACGAACTGTGAGATCATGACCTGAGCCGAAGTCGGATGCTTAACCGACGGAGCCATCCAGGTGCCCCGGAGTTCAAGCACATTTAGTTCCGGTGGTCCATTCACACCGTGGAATCCAGGCATGGCTCTGTTCCCGCACAGGCCCTGAGTCAGGAGGGTGGGGTGGCCCTAGACGGGCTGGTCCCCGGGCAGGGGAGCAGGAATCCTGCCCAGGCTTCGGCTTCCTCCCAGGCTCTCCTTTCCTGGCTTCATGTGGTCACGCTTGCTGTTGAGTAGGTGACCCTTTGGGTGAACGTAGAGACGTTAACTTCATTATGACTCGAGCTTGTAGGAACTGGGCATTTGGTTGTTTACTGGGAAACTGAGTGTCGTCATGAGCTGATGTGAATTTGTCCTCTTTGGAAATTAGTTTTCAGGGGCGCCTGGGTGGCCCAGTCGGTTAAGTGCCCGACTCTCGACGTCGGCCCAGGTCATGACCTCAGGTTTGCGAGCACGAGCCCCGAATTGGGCTCTGCATGGACAGAGCGGAGCCTGCTTGGGATTCCCTCTCTCCTTTTCTCTCTGTCCCTCCCCTGCTCTCTCTCTCTCAAAATAAATAAGCTCAAAAAAAAAAAAAAAAAAAAAAAAAAAAAAAAAAAAGAAATTTGTTTAAAAAATTTTAAAGTCAGACTGGTGTGTAACAAAAGTAAGTCTGTGGTATAGAAGGGTATAACGAGAAAAGCAAAATTGTGCCTCCCCCCAGCACTACCTCCAAAGCCTGGACAGACCCTCCCCGCCGCCCCCCCCCAGCCCCATTTCCAGGGGAAGCCGCTGTGGAGCGTCTAGCGCCCTCGTCCAGAAACACGTGTCTTCTGCGGTGTGGGTGTGCGCTTTTTCCGGCCACCCCCTCTGACGTGGTCTTCCTTGCTTTGCTGTCACAGACGATGAGTCCTTGGAGAGTCTCGTGTGTGCCCTCATGGACCTGGACGGGCGTGTCTGGAGAAGATGGCAATTTTCCCGAAGGAGGGGAGACTAGGGCGAAAGGGAAAGTGCGAGAATGGGAGACGGTGACTCGGGTGGTCTCCACCCCTGTTGGCCCCGTGCCCTTTACAGAGCCACCTGGCAGTGCTCCCGTCCAGAACGGTCTCTCTTCCCACACCTCAAACCCGGGCTGACCTTGACACTGGCTCTGGGCCAACAGAATACGGCCAGAGTGATGTCGTGCCAAGTTCTGGGAGAGCACACGAGGCTGTGCTTGCCTTCGCTGTCCTGGAAACCTCCCCAGCACTCCGCTGAACGAGCCTGGCTGTCCTGCTGGGGGTGGGGGACGCCGAGGAGCAGGGCTGTCACCTAGCCAAGGCCATCGTAGACAGGCCAGCCCCGCCTTTGACCAAGCAGCTGACCGCAGGCGTGGGGGTGAGCCCAGCCGCCACCAGCTGACAGCCAGCCTACCGGCAGACGCGAGATCGCTCAGGTGACATGTGGCCGGCCAGGGCGGGCGCCTCAGTGACCAGCATGCGTCAATTCACGAGAACGCCCACGTCCACCTGCGGGTCTGGGGGCTAAATACATGCTTAGGGTTTAAGCCGCTGGTTTTGAGGTTGCTTGTTTTGCAATGTTATCGTGACCATAAATAACCGATACGGCCCTTCCCGTGGAGGACGATACACGGTTTGAAGGTCAAGGGCTGCCATAGCAAATCCTGGTTAATGAAGGAGTTTGTTTGTTTTGTTTTGTTTTCTTTTAAATCACTGGAATGTCTACATTCCGGTAAAATGAAAACAGTTTAGAGAAAACCATCCCACAGCCACCTCGGCATGGTGCAGTAGTAGAAACAAGCCCATAAATGGTTCAGACTTAACAGCTCCCCTGGGTCTTGGGCCGACTTATGGCAAGAGCCTGTTAGATTGATTATATTTGCTACTACTGTATTAGTGAACCTGCGAAGCAGGGAGCTGATCTGATCTTCTGCATAAAGACCTGCCGGAAGCCAAAGTTCCTTAACCTTTTTTTTTTTTTTTTTTTT